GCTTCCCCCTCCGCTTCCCCCTCCCCCTTTCGAGCCGCGATTCTAGCGGTGGTTAACCAAGGCATTTGGGAAAGAAGGATGTTATTAGTTGTTTATTCATTCAGGAGTTGCTCATATTATCATTTGTTGGAGAAGTGAAATCCTTCGACTAAAACTTCTGAATATCTTTTATCTATAAGGCTAAGAAGACAATCACATGGGTAGGGAAGGGGGTAGACTTTCTCTTGCAGTGCTCTAGAAATTCGCTTCGCTCGAATAAAAAAGTTCTCGGGAGATAAGAGAGGTCAACTTTGGCCAAGTCTAGGGATGGGGTACGGAGCAAAACTATTAAATGTAGAAGCTTAATGGTTCGGTATTTGGGCAGTGAAATGTGAACCAAACGAAACTAAGTCCTTATGTCCTGTTCTCTTTCAGAGCCCTAATACAGTACTTCGGGAAGCCAAGAAACGTCAGGCAATCAGTCATGAAGAAATCCGTGAGGCAGAGAGATCACCAAAACCAGTGTCCAAGACATACTCCTTACCCACCTTACATGGCCCTGGAATTCGTTCACAAAGAGACTTGTACACTGATGAAGGTATGGTTTTCTTTACCCGTGCAAATTGTGACGTGACATGCAACACGCGGAAGTTAACCAAACACGGAGAAAACGTAGAGGAAAGAAGACTTAACCCTAAATATTTCTATCGTCATGCACACCCTTCACAATGTACGCTGTTGTTAACGAACCTTTGTTGTTCTTTCTTGTAGCTGCTGTTAGCTTTGAAAGTGATCCTAATGCCTCATCCATTGAGGGACTCCAGGCAGCACATGACAAAATCAAAGCAGCTCCTAAGAAACGAAGACCCCCAACGCGTGGGAGGTCCCGGACATCATCTCTAGGGGTCGGAGACACACCTGTAACCCAAGACCCAAAGGCACACAAACGGTCTAGGACGGACCCAAAAGACCTAACCAGAGAAAGAACCAGCAGCGGGAACCGGCTTGATTCAAGCTCACTGTCAGATATTTTGAACAATACTATATTTGAGACTTCAGAATTGGGCGAGGAGGAAGAAGGACAGGCCGTGACCTCCCAACCGGAGACTTCCCAAAGAGACAAGGAGCAACAAGACTCAGTCATAGATGATGTTATGTCAAGGGTTAATAATGTCCTTGCTCAAACCAGTGGCCCATCGAGGTTGTCCCAGAGTGGTTCCCCTTCTACTAAACTTCGAGCTGCAAAAGTAGACTTGAAGAATACAGCGGAAACGACGGAGAAAAAGAAATTATCTGTTTCAGAGAAAAGAAAAAGCCTTCCAAACAGAAAAACAGTTGACAATGAAGGATCTGATTTGGACAGAACATTGAAAGGAATGTTGGAGGAAAGAGAGTTAACTATGGCAGAGAAACGAAGGAGTTTTCCAGGGAAGACAATAGTGGAAGAAGGAGTTAAGAAAAAAGAGCTTACTGTGGCAGAAAAGAGAAGAAGTTTCACAGACAAGTTTACAGATGAAAAGCCGAAAAAGCTAGAGTCGAGCAAGACACCGAAAGAAAGTTTTGAAAAAAAGGAATTAACTGCACAAGAAAAAAGGAAAAGTTTTACAGAGCAAAAATCTCAAGAATCGACAGGGAAGAGAGAAAAGAGCGTCAGTAGCTTCCCAAAGAAGGAAAGTGTATCAAGCTTTGCTGATTCCATTCGAAGCTCTCGCGCTGAGACAGAGATCGTCATGGCAGAAAATACTTGCCAGCTTGAGAGTGAAGTCACTTTTGAAGACTTCGAGTTCGACAAGTTACTAGACAATGAACCGACCACTTCCAAACAGTCCACTGACGACAGTAAAAAAGAAAGCGAAGGTAGTCCCAAAAAGCAGGAGCAGCAGCAGAAGGATAGCATCAAACCGGCTGTACCTTTTAAACGCGGCAAATCATGGTCCAATAATTACAAACCGAAACTTCAAGAATTTCCATTCAAGCTAGATAGTACGGAACCTAGCCCGGTGAAAAAGGAAGCCCAAACAAATGTTTTAACTGAAAAACCAGAATTGGTTCAACAAGAGCAAGTAATTCGAAAGAAAGAGAACAAGTCTGACACTTCAGAGAAATCTATTCCGTCTCAGTTTAGCAGAACTAAATCCTGGTCTTATGGTACTAAACCAGGAGATGTTCGCAAGGCCAATGCGAAGGAAAATCAAGCCCCAGCTGTAGAGAACGAGAAAGATGAGCCGGCATGGGTAGCTAGTGCTAAGCAGAAGTCAAGAAGAATGTCTCAGTTGTTACTAGACGACGAAACCTCGGAAAACCAGGTAATTGATACGACTTAATAGTAGCTTATCCTGCGATTAGTTATCTGCATGGCTGCTGCATAGTCTCAGTATGTAGAAATGCAGAAATGTGGAAGCAAATTCTAAATGTGGAATCTGATACACCAGTTCTATGTTGCTCAGGGTTAGCCCCGAGTTTGTGCAGAAAACTCATGTGTTCCAGTGAAGTTTCGAGGAATTTGAAAGTGTTCATATTGTTCAAGTTGTGCATTCTTTACTTTACCGTTGGTATTTGTGAACACGAGGCTGGGCCTGAGTAAATGAATCTGTATCAAGGAACACAGCGGAAATTTGGAACTCCAAAAGAGTCTATTGCGAATTGTTAATTGGAATGAGCAACCTTTCTCCACCCTCCATACCCCACCCATACTGCATCGGAGAGAGTTTTCTCATGGTAACTTCTTCCCTGATTTCTTCCACTCGTAGCTCAATAACTTCGTTACATCAGGAAAATTTTTTAATTAATTTATTGTCTCGATTTAGTTAGGCTCCTTCCGCACTGTTCCCCCCACATCCCCACACATCCAATGACCCCTCGCCCCATTTCCACATCATCCTGGGATCCCTACTATTTTGCAACATGACTTCATCTCGTAGCTATAATGCCTCTGTTGCAAAGGCAAAGTTCCCTGATAATTAGTCACATTCTTCTATTTTGTAGACACCAACCCTCGTTAAACCGAATAAAAACAGCATTAACAAACCTCCAGATTCGAAGCCTCAGACCTCACCAAAACCAACAATAAAGGCACAAGCCAAACCAGACTCGATGTTTGAAAAACAACCTTTTAAAGCGCCTGTCAGGCCTTCTAAACCACCAGTTGCTACAAAAGAACAAGTTAAACCCTCGACTCACGAAAATCCTCACAAACCATTTGTTATTGTCAAAGACAAGGGACCACTGAAAGCAAGCAATTTATATGGAAGAAGCTCGGCAACGTTACCGGCGAGAACAGATAAGAATATTACGGGACAAAATGCAATGGGCAAGAATAATACTAGACAGTCATTGAATTTGTCCTCCAATGAAACAGCCGCAAATAAAAAGCCATTTGGCGGAATAAAAATCGATAAGTGTATCATCTGTGGAACTAAAGTTTACCAGATGGAGAAATGTAAGTTTGACGACAGTGTGTTACATCGGGACTGTATGAAGTGCTCTGTGTGTAAGAGGCATTTGACGGTGGGGAATTTCGTTATGGCTGAGAGCAAGATTTATTGCAAACCTCATAGCCTCATAGTAACTGTCGGCTCTACGTGAAGTCAGATGTGTGCTACACTAGGGTTCATGCATCGTGCTCTTTATTACTTTAAGCTAAGACGATAATACCTCCTCGGTCGCACATGCATCAGACTGCTTTAAAGAACATTAGGTTTTTGTAAACTAACGTTTGTATATGGCAAATTTCAAAAGTTCCTTGGGATAACGACCCAACGGCGGGTCATTGAACGAAACAGTTCCATTTTACTAGTAGTCGAATTCTGTGTAGTGTTTGCAGTGCCCTCATTATTCTCCTGTACAACTGTTTCATTTGGACCACGGCATCCCACGTGTAGACCCCTCCCTTGCATTCCAGAGGAATGGGAGGAAAAAATCAGGGACCGTCTTGGCTCTGGCTGTAACCTACAACAAAAGGCGAATCTTGGATTTTAAAATTGGATTCAATCTTTGGCAAGTATTTTAGTCCCTCGTGGCAGCAGATAATCTAACCCGACAAGAGACTAAACAAAAAGTTAACATTAAAACTTTGTGTAAAGTTAACGACATAGAGTTTGGATTTCAGGTACTTAGCTAGCCGATATGGCTACTGCTTAAGATAGACAGGAACGAATGAATGCGAACGATGCTATGGATTCATTATGCATTTGCATGTGAATAATATACTCAACGTTCCACATTGCGCGTACCTATACACGGTATTCAACTGGTACAGCGTATGTTGCAAAACACGTCAGCGACAGCTAAAATATTAAAACCAACACCGGAGCCGACAGATGCAGGGAAAATCACAAAAACCCTAGTGTGATGAATGCACATACAGGGCCTACAGCACTTGGGTTTACAAAAGACAACGTGATATTTGTTCACAGGCACAATCACGTGTACTACCACGATCCATKTTGTACCTACGTAAGTTGAGATGCAGTTGCCATGGTAATTTGGTAAGGGGAAAAAGGTAGATGTGTTTGTTACGTTCATTAAATCATAGTCACCAGCAGTAATAAAAATATWTTTTTTAATCCCAGCTCTAAAAAAATATTTTATTTTTCTAATTAGCTTATCAATTACATTGCGATATTGATTCGATTTAAAGATAAATCATGAAAATAAATCGATTTTGAATCTAGAGATTAAGAAATTAAATCAAGGGAAAAAGACATACGGTAAAATAGGTTAGGTATAGAGTCGGTTCACAGTCGTTTTCAATCGGACAAGGCCAACGTGGCATATCCGCCAATCAAAAATGCGCTTATAATTGGATAGATTGGAGAATGATTTGCGTATACTTARGAAAACTTTTGGAATCAACGTCTTGTTGGTCGCGTGTGATTATCGATCTTGTCATGCGCCAGGGTTAAAGCCTTTTTTCCAATACTAGTTCGGGGGGAAACTGGAGAAAAAGTAGTCTTTATTGAAACTAAGGATGAGAAAAAAAAAAATGAAAAAAATGTTTTAAGATGGCAGTTTTGGTGGATCTTTTCCAGGCTTGTACTTAGAGGGCTGGTCAGTATTAGCGGTGCCATGCATTTTGGCAACCTTCAAGTTATGTAGAAAACATATTTCATTCGGTTACACATCTCACTGCATTGGTTAACGTGACTTTTTTTAACGTGAATTTCCTTAAACCTTACTGACTGAACAGCCCGCCTTATACAAGAGGAAGAAGGAGTACGTCTAGGACCCGTAACTTAGCGCGATCACGTGTCAMCAGCCATGTTGGATGACAAGAACAACTGAGAAAAAATGAATATTATTGTTCTGTTATCCAACATGGCGGCCTCCAGGTGGTGGTGTAACCACCCAGTGACATAGTAAATTAATTGACCAGTAGCTATTTCAATAGGCTGATTAACTACATGCATGTATTTGTAGAGAAGACGTGAAAAACTTGTAATAAGCAAAATAGTATAGAAAGAAGAAATTGACTTTAATTGTTGATGATGAAGTTTTCGAAAATAAAAAAAAATAAAATGTACGTGCCTTCATTACGGCATCATGTCGTCCATGGACATCTTCCCTTGTCCTGTTGTCGTTTTCTTTGTTATTGTTGTTGTTTTATGTGTGTGAGTTTTGTTTGTTTGCGTTTTTTTTTCTAATCGAGTTCTTTGAGTTAGTCTACGCAATACATAGTAGTACACACTAACTAATTGCACAACTTTGTTTCACGGGCCAGATAAAATGACTCTAACAGTGATTCTATACTTGGCCCATGAAACAAAGTTGTATGTTTAGTGACTAAAAATCAAAATAAAACATAAAACAAGAGAAAACAATGGCATTWGGGTCTACTAGAGTGATGTTAGAGTGAAGACATTTAACCCAGTCAACGTTGCACACATATGTATAGTTAGCAGACAAGAATTCCATTGTTCTATTTTGTATTACTTTGACTGTTAGTCACTAATAATACAAATTTGTTTCACGRACCAGATAAAATCGCTCTATATACTATGCATCATATTTACTATTTTTTTCATGGTCCAAGTAAAATCACCTTAGTACTACTAGAGGCGGATCCAGGATTGTTTTGAAAGGGGAGGGGGAGGGGGAGGGGGGGTCCAAACCTTATGCAATAAGTGACATTTTTGACGTCATACATACACCATACCAGTCGTAACACATACACATATGTTGCTACTAGTATAAAACGAATGAGTCGGGACTTTCAATAGAAAAGGTTTACGATATCATAGTGTAAAGATTTTCTGCAATATGGCGTATGCTAAACAAGGCGAAAACAACGAATTTTAAAGGGTGCGAATCCGAACCCAATGGACCCCACTAGCTTTTCATCTCCATCGACTATCATGTATGAGAACACGAGGTGAAATGCGGTGTGAACACTATGGACTGAGAAAGTGGACTGAAATTGAATGTTCTGGCACAATTGGTTGAAAAAAAGTCGTTTATTAAGAATGGTTGTTTAATAAAAAAAGATACTCTACTGATCCATGATGATCAGGATTCTACTGAAACATGAAAAGAGTACAGGAGGAGAAAGCTGGACTACACTTACATGGATTTCTCAGTTAAAATTCTACTGCTATTCACCAAAGTCACCACCTACTGTCCTATACTAAATGCATGCAGTTTGTACTACATGCATCCGTTACGTTCATTCAGGTGGAATGTCTCTTCTGATTCCGTTTTTCCGCTTGTTCCAAGCGTATTCGTACTTTGCCAGATACTTGTCTTCACACTTGTATACAAACGACCTTGATTTAGAGATGTTTTGGACTCGAACTGAAATTCTATATCCAAGTTTCAGTGCCCTGTCGATGAGCCGCTCCAAATGAGAGCCACCATTACAGTATTCACGAATACGTTTGCTTAAGGAGCCGGGGCCATCTCTATGAGCTGCACCAACATAAACCACTTGTTTTTTCTTCCCCTTTGAGACTCGAAGCTCGTAGATCCCATCATCGTACGGGCTCTTTTTGAATCGCGTCAATATCGTCCTGACAATAACGCCATAGTGGCCCTTTTTACGCCGCTTGTACCTTGGTGAGTTAATGGATGTGCCAGGTTTAAGTGCTGGGTGCCAGCGACTCCATTTCGAATCTGTCAGCCGTGACACACGTCGCACATTTTCCCTCAATGGTTTGCTTGTTTTCATTACTAACTAAAACATAACAAAAATATAAAATCAACTCATTAATTGCTGTCACTGAGGGCATGCCGTCAGATGTTCAAGGAGATACGGGATATACTTGACCATAAACTGTTAGAGGAGTAAAGGATACCGAAAAAATATATACATCAGTAATAAAATAAGACGCRTTACCATTCGAAGCAGGCGACTGTGAAAATATTCTCATACAATACACCATTTTTATATATTTACATATTTACTGGTGGTTTCGCACTGTTTGAAAGACATGCTTGCCATTCTAACAGTCAAAATCACATAAATATTGTAATATAGTTCGAAAACACGAAAAATATCAATAACTTCTAGTTCATCCGTGGGGCTTTTCAGGACTAAGTGATACTTATTATAAGCCATAATAATGGCCATGTTTCGTATGTCAGCACGCTTATCTTGATTGTATAGTAATCATATACTTCCTTATCAATGTTCCATCACAGTCCCTGTCGATCACATATTGATGCTTACCTGCAAACAAABCTTTCCACGTTTGGACTTTTTACAAAAGTGCAGTAACAGTTGTTAGACTATCAACATTCAAGCCAGCTTGCACTGCTTTCGCGCCGATTTYATAAGACATCAACCGAAAAAAATCCCCTATCACGTGATCTAGCACTTTCTTGGAATCGCGTTAGGGAAACGAGCTGCGGATGTAATCGATTTACTTCCGCTTCTTTCTGTGATAGCAGTTCGTGTTTCTTTTCGCTCAACTGCTGGGGGCAAATTACTTGATTCTGATTGGTAGTACGGTGGCCCATAACTGTCACGGCAAATCAAAATTCACACGGCACTACACTTGAAAATATTCATGGCAAAATGACCAATTGTCCCGGCACTACACAATATTTCACGGCAAAATAACAATTTGTCACGGCACTACACAATATTTCACGGCAAAATAACAAATTGTCACGGCACTACACAATATTTCACGGCAAAATAACAAATTGTCACGGCACTACACAATATTTCACGGCAAAGTAACAAATTGTCACGGCACTACACAATATTTCACGGCAAAATAACCAGTTGTCACGGCACTACACAATA